CTTAAGTTGTATTTTCTTTTACCTATTTGCTTCTTGTTAATCTTTTTTGTCTTAAGGGAACCATAAATTCTTATTCAATTGTACCGGGACATAACAAATATCGATCAGGTTATGTGTTCACGGTATTTGATGTTTATTTTTTCGAAGGTTTTCTTTATTTTATCCTTTACATCTTTTATATATTTGACTGAAACTATTGTACATGTAGAAAACAATGTTGTGAGCTCTACTTATGTTAGTTATGTTTGGTTGCTGTCTTATGATCTCAGAAATTGAAGAGGTTACATTCACTTTAACTATAACTAAAGGTTGCCATCACGAGATGATTGACTATGTATATCGTGCGCAACTGAAAAATGCGTTGAAGCTTTCCATACTGGCCCTTTAACAACTTTTAATTATCTAATCACATTAGTCTTATTTCGATATTCTTAATAACGGATACAACATATACATTAAAGTATGCCTCATATATTGACTTACATCTAGAAATTAAGAATGAGGGTCGGTTAAGAACAAAACTTTACGACAAAAGAGATGATTTTAGCTTCCCAATTGTGAACTTTCCATTTGAATGTTACAACAATCCAGCAGCTTCAGCATATGTAGTATATATCTCCCAGTTGATGCGATATTCCAGAGCTAGTATTTCCTATAATGCTTTCCTTGGTAAAGGGTTGCCGCTTACAAAAAAGCTTTTAACCAAGAGTTCCAAGCGTTGAAGTTGAAATCATCCCTTCGAAAATTCACGGACGTCATCACGCGTTGGTTGACGGTTATTGAATATCTGTTTCACAGATGACGACAGATATGTTCTAATTGTCGTAACTACGATTATCCCGTCCTCTTCTCCTCGAATGTAACCTACCGAATTAGACTTATCACCGAGTTTTACTTGTATGAACAACACGTGCCACTAGTGGAGCAGATCTGCTTACCATTCCTGAGGTCACCAACGGTTTTTGTGGGGGTAATGTTGCTCAGTCTTTAGTTTTCTATGTTGCGCTTTGTGTACTGTTGTTTTTCTTTTCGTCGTTTTTCGTTTTTTGCCATGGCATTGTCAGTTTGTTTTTGACTTATGGGTTTGAATGTCCCTTTGGTGTCTTTCGCCTCTCTTTAATATTTAGCCATATAACACTACGATGGTTGTAACAAATATGTTTATTAAAGTTTTGTACACCGGTCTGTAAATATTTCCACGTGTATTGTTTATAATTGATACACGTGTTGAATGTATATAATAGGTTAAATGTGTTTCATTGGTTGAGTAAGAACTGACCATAATATTTGAATAAGGTCAATTCAAATATTTCGTGCTATACTTTTGGTGGTTGTGTGAATTTAAGATATAATTTTAGATTTGAGCACTTTGAATTTATCGGTGAAAAAAGAAAAGATTAAATTTGAAGATTGGAAAACAGCTGTGCAATACTTTCAGAAAAATGATTATCTGTATAAATTTGATTTAAAATCTGGTTGTTTTCATTTGGATATATATGTCCACAGCATTACACTATTTCTGGTTTTTTGTGGAAAGAGAAATTCTATTGTTTTACTGTTTTGGCATTTGGTCTTTACACGGGTCCTTACATATTTACCAAGTGTCTCAGACCATTGGTCAAGTATTGGAGAAAAAATGGTATAAAAATCGTTTTATATCTTGATGACGGATTTGGTATGAATAACGACAATAATGAATGTATCAAAGATGTTGAATTCGTGAAACAATCACTTTGGAATGCAGGTTTTCTTCTAAACGAAAAAAGAAATCAGTTGAAGTGGTTGGGTGGGCGTATTGCGTTTCCGCTAATTTTTCAAAGTTCCAATACTACGTTTCCGGAAACTTAAAGTATACGTTTCCAGAATTTTTATTTATTACTTTTCCGGAAATTTACCTGGTAGTAAATTATAAATATTTGAATATATATTAGATAAATTATTTATTATATATTTTTATACAAAAAAGGTTCTGATCTTATTCATTTCATGCTGCTACAATCAGTTGTTGCATGTTTCATTTAGGACAAAGTTGGTGGCGTAAAATTCAGTCGATAGGTCTAAGGGCCGATTACAAGGACAACGATTCGGATTTTGGAAAATGGCTGACACATTTCTTTGGTTTGGCGTACTTGCCAAACAATAAGATTGAAGAATGCTTTGTAGAATTAATAGCAGATGTTCCAAAAATGATAAATGCATGAAGTTTGCAGATTACATATTGGAATTTTATATAGATGGCAATTCGAGATTTCCACCAACCATTTGGGCATCACCTCCTGACCCCGAGGAAAAGAAAACAACGAATGGTGCCGAGTCTTTTCATGCCCACTTGAACGAGCAGTTTTACATTTTTGTCTTTGTCGATGTGCTATTAAAACTGCAAACAACATCATACATAAAGATGAGAACTTTATCTATTAAAGCACTCATTCGAAAATACGAAAAAGAGAAGATGGACTTCCTTGTTGAACAAAACACAAAACTTGTAAACGGCGAATGTACTACTGTGATATTCCTTAATTATATTCCCGGAAAAATAATAATTTATTTTTTCCGGAATTGTTACTATTTTCCCGGAAAAGTAAGGTATTTATTTCCGGAAACGTAGACTTTTTTTCCCGGAAACGTCATCGTTTTTTCCCGGAAAAGTAATGCCAATTTCCGAAAACGTAAAACGCCGGGTTGGGTATTATTTGGGATTATTGTAATTGAACTTTATGCATTCCTCAAAGGAGGATTGACGAATTATTACAATCTGTTCATAATGTTTTCAGAGACTCTCCATATACTTCAGCCAGAAAATTAGCACAGGTAACGGGTAGAATAATAAGTATGTCTCCTGTGATCGGAAATATTTCTAGAATAATGACTAGATATTGTTATATTTTTATTGAAAGTAGAATGTTATTGGATAGTTATTTAGTTTTAGAAAGTAAAAGTTTTGTAATATCTAAAGTTCTGATTTGATAACATTACAAATGTCAATTTTAAAACATTGAACCAATGTAGTTAGTCGCATGTTATGATATATTCTGATGCTAGCAGCATAGCTGCCGGTGCATGTACACTAGAGTTGGAAAGTAAAAATGTTCACACGATGTGGAAATCCGCTCAAATGTTAGAGAGCTCCACGTGGAGGGAACTGAAGGCTTTTGAATTGGCGTTGATGTCTTATCCACATGCATTTGCTGGAAAATCCTTAAAATGGCTAACTGATAATCACAATTGTGTCAGAATTGTTCAAGCAGGAAGTATGAAAGAAAAACTGCAAAATATAGCAATTTCCATTTAGTCTATTTGTTTACAAAAGGGAATCTCAATAATTATACAATGGATTCCTAGAGGCGGAAATTTGAAAGCTGATTATATCAGTAAAATCATTGATTATGAAGACTGGGGTGTTTCAGAAATTTTTTTATACTTTTATGAACGACCTTTGTGGTCCTTATACAATGGATCATTTTGCTAGTTCTCGTAACGCAAAATTAGAAAGATTTAACTCCTTATTCTGGAATGTAAATACTAAAGCTGTAGACTGTTTTACTCAGAATTGGTCTGGTGAAAACAATTGGATTGTACCACCTATTTACTTAGTTTTGAGAGCTATAAAACATTTAATTGCTTGTAAAGCTAAAGGTACTTTAATCGTATCAAAATTGGTATCTGCAACCTATTGGCCATTCATTTTTGGTAAAAATTTGAATAACAGAGATTACAATCATATCTGATGTTATTGAATTTAAAAGTACTAGCGGTATTTTTGTCAGTGGTTCAAATAAAAAATCCATTTTTGGCACTGAGCCTTTTATTGCTCCAGTATTGGCAGTATCAATCCTTGTACCTCTTATTTAGTTACGTTTGTTAATGAAGGAGCACAAAGAAAATGAGGACATTTTATCACTTATAAAGATCCTATTACACCAGACATTTTGCGAAAAATTGTTCATACTTATGGTCAACTTTATAGTAATCTTAAAGATTTAAGAACTGTGTGTATGTGTTTATTTAGCTATTCAGGTTTTTTAAGTTTTCAGAACTAGCTAATTTGAGTGGCATCGATATAACGATTTATTCTACACACGCAAATTTATATTTGGCGAAGAGTAAAACTGATATTTACAGAGAAGGGAGGGATATAGTTATTTCTAGAACTAATCTTGTGACTTGTCCTGTTTCTATGTTAGAACGGTATCTCAAATCAGCTAGTATTACATCAAAATCCGATGAATGTATATTTCATATCTGATATTTCTTATAAACTTAGACGTACAGGTCCGTTGTCATACACTAGAGCTCGGGAAATACTACTTTCAAGCTTGCAGAATATAGGCTTAGATAGTAAAAAAATTGGACTACTTAGTCTTCGTTCAGGAGGGGCATCGGCTGCTGCAGCGGCTGGTGTAGAGGACAGATTGTTCAAAAAACATGGTCGATGGAATAATGACACTGCAAAAGACGATTATGTTAAGGAGTCTTTGAAGGATCGACTTTCTGTTTCCAATAATATTGGAATTTAATCAATATGTACTTTTTGCCCTTTCTTAATTTTTCGAAGCTTTGCTGCACACTGTCAAGCGAGCTGATCCCATACAAAGGTGTTGAGAGTTTATTTTGTAAATAATTTATGTTCGCTTGAATTTATGAATAAGAAAATAAATATATTTATTACATTTATGTACACCATACCGGTGTAAACATTACCACGTGTATTTGTTTATAATTGATACACATGTTGAATGTATATAATAGGTTAAATGTTTTATTTGTTGAGTAAGAACTGACCGTAACATTTAAATAAGGCCAATTCAAATATTTCGTGCTATACTTTTGGCAGTTATGTGTATTGAAGATATTGTCATTGGAGGTTCGCTTTTTAGGCAGTAAAGTTTCCCACCCTCCCACCCGACAATATGTATTTTTCTTGTGTTATTTTTATTAATGTGAATAATAATGTAAGAAATAGCATCTTAATTTTGATTCATAATTTTTATTTGCGAACATAATGAAAATTGTTTTTATTCATGTAGGTTTTTGTGTTTGTTACCTGCAGTGGCCTAGGCAGACAGTAACAGATACTCTTTAGTTTGTCTTTAATAAAATTGAAGCTTTGCTGCACACTGTCAGGCCAGTTGATCCCATGCAAAGTTGTTGAGTTTATTTTGTGTTCGCTTGAATTTATGAATAGAACATAAATACAAACAAATATATGCTTACCCGTTATCTTGTGATATACATTTTCGTTTTTCTTTCAATATATATTTTGATTACTTAAACATTTAATTTCAGTGATGTTTGTTATTTACATATTAGCAGTATTTGCTATTAATGTGTGATGGTCTTTGTCTTTTGTGTTGTCTTAGTCCTGTCTTCCAATTTTTTATTTCTCAATGTAACAAAGTGTTTTTCTGTACTTTGCACTTCTCTATATGCAGATATGCAAATTGAGGTTGGTAATATTTCACATCATAGTTGGATTCATATATTAACTCAGCATTTATTGCAAAATACATTTTTCATATTTTCAAAGCTTATCAAATCACACAAACAAAACAACCGATAATCACTTGTTTCATTCTATAAAGAATTTAACGAGAAGATCATACGCTTCAGCATGGCTCCATACATTTCGCCTGTATTAAGAAAAAACAAGTTTTGTTGACTATCGTTCAATCACATCCTCTTACATAATATCACTGAACTTTGATTTAATTCCGCTTTCATTTTTGGCACCTGAAAAAGTATATTTAGGTATCGCTGTGTATACTACCCGGTATCATGTTATATTCTCCGGCCAATAGTTTTTCAAAATTAGCACTACGTGGTTTTTGTCCTTTTTTATAACAAAAATCAATTTTTGAAGATCTATTCTCGATTCTTAAAATAACATTTTTGTTTTGACCAATTTTTTCTAGGCTTTCGTTCGAATCACAATTCTTTGACTTTCTTCTTGTGCATTTCTGTACAGCAAGTTGTAATCCGGCACGGAATTTTGGACTTAACCAAATGTATATAATTGGATTATAGCAACTGTTACTCATAGCTAACCAATGACTGAATACCCATACGCTTGGCATAAACTTTTGGTCATATATAGTATGGTCATGGTCACCAACCAATGTTATAACATGGAAAGGAAGCCAACAAAGTGCGTAAAATACAACAACTGTAGCCATCATCTTTATTAACTGAAAACATAAAACAGATACATGTAGATTTATGAGTTGAGCCTTTTTTCAATTAATGTTTTATAGTGTGTCCTTTTATGTCGTATTGTTACACCACTGTCTCAGTTTAGCGGGAAGGTTGGCGACAGAGATAAAACGTTCAAAACCGCTGCATTTGTTTGCACCTGTCCTAAGTCAGGAACCTGATGTTCAGTGGTTGTCGTTTTTTGATGTGGTTCATAAGTGTTTCTCGTTTCTCGTTTTTTATATAGATTAAAACGTTGGTTTCTCCTGTTTGAATGGTTTTACACTAGTCATTTTGGTGCCCTTTATAGCTTGCTGTTCGGTGTGAGCCAAGGCTCCGTGTTGAAGGCCGTACTTTGACCTATAATGGTTTACTTTTACAAATTGTGACTTGGATCGAGAGTTGTCTCATTTGCACTCATACCACATCTTATATCTATTTATAACATGAATTGTCATTTTATTGAAAATAGATACTTTATTTAATTTTGGTAATACAAATGTACATTCAACAAAACAATCGAAAACCACTTTTTCTTTTCAGAAACGATGATATTGAGTGACATAAAATATGAATTCTACATAAGTACTAACATACTGCTGTTTATATTAAACTAGAATTTAAATAAAACTATTTTGACTTAAGCATTTTGCACCAAATTATGATTTGTCAACAACAAAAATCAACTATTTGGATGGAACCAGTGTATACCAATACAGTTTGAACCCTCCAATGAGATTTCTACAATTATTTTGTAAACATTAAATCGATTGTATTCTTTGTCAATGTAGATCTAATACAATATACGTAAATAAGTTTTATCACTAAAATAGGAATAATTTTCATTTCCCTTTTATTAAGGATTCCATACCATAATCGATCCCGATATAAGATGTATATGCAAAAGTTCGAAAACCAAACTGTAATGGTGTCTAAACATCATAGGTTTTCTGCTATATCATAATAAATAAAAAAGGATACAAATACATTAAAAGCATCTTATAATAGCTACATTAAACTCAAACCGTGACAGTAAACGGAAACGATAACTCTTGAACAATGGCTATTATAGACCAACAGTAACTGTAGCTAAAAGTTGTAAATGCTTAAAGATTTATTCACCGGATAAATTATGGCTTATGGCATAATGTTGATTACACGTCTCAAGGGACAAATAAGATCATATTATGAAAACAAACATGTTTTCAAGTCTGATGTCGGTATTGATGTAAACATACTATATTGCTCATTTGTACTTGGTTATCTTTGATTTAGAAAAGTTTTAAATGTGCTAGGGAGTAATTAAGATTTTGTTAATCGAAGATCAAACAAAGAACAACGTGTGAATGTAACAAATATTGACCGGTTATTATTAACGACTATGTAAAAGTCGATATTCATTGTATGAGGGTAATAATCTCGAGATTCATACGATATATGACAATGCCAATCCCCGAGAAAATAAATTATTAGGCTTACCAAAAAGACCGATTTTTTTTTATTTACAAATATTTTACAAACATTTTGGTTTCTATACCCTCAAAATGAAGTTACATTCTTATTATTATAAGAATAAGAAGATGTGATATGAATGCCAATGAGACAACTCTACACAAGAGACAAAATGACACAGAAATTAACAACTATAGGTCACGGCCTTCAACAAGGAGTAAAACCCACTCCGAATAGTCACCTTTAAAAGGCCCCGAAATGACAAATGTAAAACAATTCAAACGAGAAAACTAACGGCCGGATTTATGTACAAAATAATGAACGAAAAACAAATATGATATACAGCAACAAACGACAACCACTGAATTACAGGCTCCTGACTTGGGACAGGCACACACAGAATGTGGCGGGGTTAAACTAGTTTGAAGGCGCGCCAACCCTCCCCCAAACTGGGACAGTGGTGTAATAGAACAACATAAGAACAAACTATAAAAATCAGTTGAAAAGGGCTTAACTCATTAGATCGATACAAAGCAAAATACATCTAACAAAAACACAGAGTGCACGTGGCGGGGTACTTAAACATCCCCACAACAAAACGCATTTACTGACAGCTAGTTCAAAGCCAATAACAACTAATAAAAAAATCATGTATCTAAGACGAAAATATCAATAAGTACACATCCAACATCTAAGGGATTTAGTGTAGAGACGTCATTAACAGTCAGAGAAAAACACGACCTTGTGCAATGCCAAGATATAGGTATCGAAAGATTGTAGAGCCATGAATGTGCATATGTATATAAAAATAATATTTAGTTTGATTTTAATTTACTGATAACAGAAATCAATATTAATACCAATAAAAACAATATTCAAAGACCTAATTATAAAGTTAAATTGGTAACCTTTTAGAATACGTTTATTTAAAGGATCGATAAGTTTACCCGGATCGTATCTAAATTTCCGGGCTCGGTAAACAACAGCTCCGTAAAAATTAGGATGTGCTATTCCGTTAAAAAAAGTTTTCAACGGGTATAACCAAACTTCCAAACCAAATCTGTATATCTATGGAAGAAATTAATAAAGGTTTTAAGTAATTTGTGGTAACGAAATCTCTGACTTAATAATTTACCAGTAATACATAGATTACGTTCATTGAAATCCAAAACGTCACAAAAGACACGGGCATAGCGAACGAGTTCTAGATTATAGTCTTTGTCCACACGCCTCACCAAACAAACCAAGAGAAATGTGATTGTCAAGTTTAAAACAACAAAAATGAGATGTGAACAAAAAGCTTGTCTGTAGTGTTGAAATACGTTGGTGATAGAAGAACTCTCACTGTTGATAAATACTTAAACATTCAACCAGCTCATATTGTAATACTACAGCAAAAAATTACATTTATTTTGTTTAATCTTTATCCGATTCTGTAAAAAAAAAAAAAATTTTGGTAAAGGTCAAAGTATTTTATTTTCATTTCTTTGCAAGTGGTTGGAAATTATTGTTTCCATTCATGCTATTAAAGATTTCTAATATGTTGACATGGTCATCAACATCATTTGGTCTTGATATTGAAAATCATTAAATCTTACACAAGGACATTGAACTTAACTTGAGCATGTTATTTGCAACTTGTGATATATGAAGTTTTCTAAAATACTGCAGAGTAATACGTCATTTCATTTTTTTTTTATAATTTCTTCGATAAAATGTCTTCTAACTATTTATTTTATTTCTTGTTCAAACAAAATACAGCAAACATCTCACCTTTAACATGTTTACTGTTAGATATAATTATAGGTTTGTGAACTGATCATCAGCTTAGAAAACATAATACCACAGTAACATATTTTAGCACGCTCGGTTTCTAAATTATTTGAAGGTTATGATATCATTTATTGACAATTTTGTTATATTTCTTTCTTTTGAATTCTGTTTTGCATAATTGGTTACGGTGTATATTTCAAAACAAATATCTCCTTTCTATACAAATACCAGTGAAGACGTTTTATCTCAGATTTTTGCCTTAAATCAATACTATTTATACTTTTTACTGAAGAATAAGTATACTTGTTTAAATTGTTTATTAGTATAAACTCAATTCCCCCCCAAAAAAAACAACTTACAGGGTCAATTGAATTTTAATGATAATAACTTTGGATTAAATAGTGTGTGACAAAAGAAGAATATCAGATGAAAGTTATCTTTTTAGTCTTGTGTATTTCATGCTCCAAAATTGTATTGAATTATTCAAATTGTATTAATGAATTACATGTACTTAAATTGTACTTTGTGATTTCTACTATAATATGTTTTGTACTGATATCTATAAGCTGTATTGCTTTTGGAATAACAATTATGAGTTATCTATTGCACAGAAAATAAGTTGTTTTACAACTTCATCAATTTCGTTAATGATGTAGCCTTAGTAAAGCCAGATTAGAGCCGACGCACGATTCTTTGGTGTATTATTTCCGCGTTATATAATTCAACAGTAGTATTGATCAGTTGTTTTGGTTGTAACACTGGAAATCAATTTGCTGTAAATAGAGATAATCAGTTCCTGAAAGTTCTGATATAAAGTTACATAAATAGGTCAAACAGTAATGCCGCGTATAGAACGCAGACGTTAGGAGGGGCCAAGGACCAGTAGCACTAACCCCTTATCATGATTGCATCGGTAATAAAGTATTTCACTATGCAAAAACATAGGGAAAAAAACCCACTGAAAACATAAGTACTAAAATCAAGTCAAAACTTAGAAATATACCATAATGGCAAGGGTTTATTCTAAGCTTATAAATGCCCACTTTACCTAAAGGCAAGGCAAATTTCAATAGTATAATGTAAAGCAAAAAAACTGTATTGATCATATGAATTGTCTTTTCAGCTAATAGTCTACATAACCTCCCTCCGCCCAAAGAAGCAACTATTACCATCTTCCTTATAATGAAATTCAAGTCGAAGTAAAAACACTCAGTCATTATACATTGTAAAGATTAATCATGGTATTGTAGTTCTCTAAATAGTCTCTTTTGTGTTGTAAGGAGAGTGGCCGCATACATTACATATGCCATTTTAGGTGACAGAAATGTACTAATACAAAAATGAAGATTCTCTAAAGCGATGTCGCCATGAGATAGGCTTCATGCAATTGTCTGTTGAAACTTTTCTTGGTCTTGGTACCCTCAAATGTATTCTGGAATTGGATTCAAAAACGTTTGATCTTTTTTTAACGTATCTTGGTAAAAAGAGTTCAAGTCACTTGTTCGTTATCTCAAAAACACATATTTCAAACTTATAATTGTAAATACATATATATAAACTTTCTACTTGGTCAACAACCATCCGTAAAATCGTACATAATCTAACCATTTAAGTGTCCTTAGTAAGTAATAGGATGTTCTTTGATTATTTTGGTTTTGTTATGAAATAAAAGAATGTGTCTATAAAGCTTTCATCATTTGCCGATGGTAATGCAATTACATCGATACCAATACATTAAGTAGGATTCTGGTCTATTCATATAACGTTGTAA